TTATTAGCTTAAATTTGTTATTTGTTATTAGTTTTAATAATCTTTAGTAATATATATATTTGTATTATATATATATATATATAAAACATATGTACTGACCAACGCGTTTGTACATTTTACCACGTTTTTATGGGAACTATAACATACTAATACCGGTGCAGGTGGAATGGAGGGTGGAGCTAAATCCATCACCACTTCTCTGGTGCACTCCGACTCTCACACCCAAACTCAAATCTGCTGTAAGCTTCAGCCAAAATAATTTATGTTACAGCATTTCCCTATTTTTTCTTCTTGCTTTTTTCTTTCTTTTTTTTCTCTTGATCCTTTTCTTCTTTTCTCTTTTTTATTGTTCTCTTCATATTTCCCATCAACCAATTTAGCCATTGTACGTGCGTGCGTGCGTGCGATATTTAATCATTTTATTTTGTCTTTTTATGTGAAAATGGAGTTTCGAGATGTTAAGAAAGAAAAATCTCGGCGGTTGATAGATTTAAATCTTTTTTTAGACATTAAAAAGTATGGTCATTTATATCTTACCCTGTTGTTAATAATTTCTTTAACACTTCTCTTTTTGGTGCTATAAAAGCGCCTATTTCCACTTGTTATTTTTGTAAGCGCAATGTGATGTATGTATAAAAAAAAATGCACAAGGTTAATTTATACATGAGATTTCTTAATTTTGGTTCATTCTCTTCTCTTTCTCAATTTTCAAAAAATATAACAACAAAATATGTTACTTATCTCTCTTTTTCTGAATGAATATTCATCATCGCCATCAGGCTCAGCGACAAGTTTAGATGAGTCAAGGGAATCAACACCGTCTGCCAATATCCTGACGAAGAAATACGAGAGTGACATAGAGATACTCAGTAATCCAAGTCAGAGCAGCATAGAAGTTTTAGATGAAACTCTAAAGTTAGTCTGCTACTTGCTTGCAGTTATTATTACAGTTTTTACAGTGATACTTATAGTTTATGGTTACTTGACATTATATTCGGATAACTGCATATAAATACAAGTGCAACAAGAAACGAGTTAGATAGAATTACTTTATTAATACAATTTTATATTAAAAAAGAAACAGAAACATACATAATCTCGTCATCTGTTTGTCATATTGTTTATGTTGATATTTTAACTATGATATTCATTGATACAGGGCAAACGTCACACCAAGTCGCAAACGCTCAACGGAGGAAAAGCGTATCGTAATCGCTCCTTCTTTAATAACAATACCAGATGCTACGCCGATCATGGCAGGCCTAACAGAAAGTAGTTCTTCGGGTTTGTATTTTTCGTCTTTTGTGTGTGCATTTCTTTGTGAACAGTTATTAAGTTAAGTTTAACAGTATAATTATTAATGATGATATTAATTTTATTATGGCTCACGTATTTCTTTTCGTTCTATGGAAATTAAAATAATTAAAATAATTACTTATAATATAATATAAATAAGGAATTTTATAATGTGTTAATAAATGCTTACAATGAAGTTGTTCTAGCGAATTATAAACTGTATGTATAAAATTAACCTTACATTATTATTTTATTCCATTAAAGTAAAAATTAATGCTATTTTCAATATGTAGTTATGTACTCTTTTTACAAAGTTTACAACTTTTACAAATAGTGTCAATTTTTATTTTAATGGAATAAAATAATGATATAAAGTTAATTTTATATACAGGCTCGTTAACAGACAGCATATGCACGGCATATGAAAATAAAATGGTCAAATCGAACATTGATACGAAATTCCATAGTAGCGATGGTGAAAAGGAAATAGCATTTGCTCCTATGACAAACTTAACATCGATGCTGGGAGGTAAAATAAACAAATTTTATTGAACAAATGATACATTGTTCGACACTATTAAAAGTGCTTGATCGCATCAATAAAATGAGCAAATATTTTGCTTCTGCTTGAAACATTAATTTTATTTTGAATGACATGACTATGGTTTCAATTATTTATCAATTATGTTAATCATTATTAGCAGTTATATTCATTAGATATTACGTTATGATATTAATAATTAATAATTATTATTTTTATATTTATATCTCTCTGTGTTATTTTCAGGCTTGCTACAAAGTATCAAGATCGGCAGCAAAACCTTGAAAGGTGAAGAGGCGTCCAACTTTTTTGGCAGTAACGTGCAATATTCCTATACTGATTTTAGCAGTATAGATCATAGAATCAAACTGCATATCATTTTAAATGTATTTGAGCATGAGAACGAAGAACTCGTATTTCTTCTTAAGGTATTTAGCTTGAGATTTAATTCATTACATCTCATCTAATTAATTATGTATGACAAATCTGAATTACATAGAATTATAGATTGTATATATCGTTTTTTTTTTTCATTTTCTTTCTGTATAGGCAGACATTTTGATGCATTCTATGCAAGAAACATTTTCTGGATGCTTAGTCTTGTCTACGTCTAAGGTTTATGTTCTTAGGATCGATGGGTCAGAAGGGTAAGTTCGTACTTTGATATAAATTTTAATATACAAAATCATAAAAATGTTTAAGAAATATAAGGTGCTACTTTTTATTGTGTTTTTTAAATAAAAGTATCAATAAAGATTATTTATTTTAATTTCGAACTTTAATACACTATGTGTCTTCAATTAATTTGAACTAACAGAAGAATCTGGTTTTATATGTGGTTTTCTATTCTACTGTTAAACGTGCGAGAAAACTTTTTAGTCTTAATAAAGAAACTAAACAAAAGAAGAAAAAAGGAATTTGTAACAGGGAAGATCCACAGCGTTGGCTTCATAAGGAAATTAGCTGGACGACGGACAGATTGAGATCTTTTATACCGCTGCCATTTAAGCAAGGTGTTTTAATTGAGTTACAACAGTCTGGGAAAGCCGACGAAGAACATCTCGCTATCACCTTGCTTTGTATTCTGCAAGATTTCCAAAGAACGTCAAATTTTTTATTTTATATTACAGGTAAAATGTGTTTTAACGAGTAGATGAAACTTGATTTTAATTGATTGTAAGACTTCAAGTATATAAATATATTTGATGTTAATTTTCTTTCCTTCTATTTACGATGTGCCTCTGATGATAGATTTGCAGTTGCCTGCAAGCTGCGAAGTGGAATTTTCTATTCCAGAACGTTACAGCATTTTGATGCACAACGTACTAACGAATACTGCAAATTATCAGATAGGGGACATCATACGATTACTAGCAATATTTTCCTCCGCAATCTTAAAATATCAAAATATTGCTATTAAGATGAAACTATCTGGATTAATACTGACGGGTGCAGCGCTGGTGATACTAAAGGACAACGTCCAATGGCTTATACCAAACAGCAATCAAGTGCCTTTAGTCACTAGAGAACAAGTTATGAGCAATTTGATTGGAATAGTCAGTAATTTTCGATAATATCTGTTACCGTAAATGTTTTATCCATGAGTCACTAAAGAAAATTTAAATTTTCTTTAGTGACTCATGGATGGGTATCACGATTAAATTTAACAAAAGTAGTGCTGTCTCAAGTTACCTGCACTATCCCAAGTCACATATATTTACAGCTTATAAGTTATAGCTTATAAAGCTTAGAAAGAGATAATGCTTTTAAATAGTTGCTTTATGTAATCTTAAAAGTACAATATACAAAATGTTTTGCGATTGAGTCGTTTGCATTATCTGTTTTTATATTATCCGTTGCACATTTAATGAACATTTACTGATATAAATATAATGTAATAATTTTAGGAACATTGTGACACTTGGTTAACTTTAAATTTTTTGGACGAAATTGTGGGCCTTGAGGAAAGTTGGACATTGGAATTTGTCTCTTCTGGTGCTGCCGAAGCTGTAATAAGTTCTATTCAGCCTCCGTGGGAAAAGTTATTCTCGATACCTCTGCAAATAACACGCATAACGCAAGATGATGCAGAGAAAGCTTAAACAATACATAAATCAAATTTCTAGTGAGTTTTTCTACATTATAGCCATAATGAAATTAATAAGGTGAAATTGTGCATAATGGCAACAATAATACTGGAAATAACTAATCAAATGTTCCTCTATATACGCTTTCCTGCGTATAATAGCGCTAATTATACTAAAACAACTAATCAAATGTTATTTAAATTCACTCTTGTATTATATTATGTATCCACGGAAATGCACCTGATTAATTTCACCATGATTATAGTTTAGTTCAATAAACTTTTGTCTTATATCTAGAAAATCCAATAGACTAAGAACAATTACTATAAAGGGAAAAAAACACGCGATGCTCTATTTATTGCAAGGATTGCAAGATTAACTTGCTGAAACGAAATAGAGAGAAATCCAGATACACACACGCACACACGCACGCATGCACGCGCACACACGCACACACGCGCGCGCGCACACTAAACTTAAATAAAGTGCGTGCGTGCGTGCGTGCGTGCGTGCGTGCGTAGATAGTGCCCGCCAAAAGTTTAGGGTCAGCTAAATATCTCAGAAAGTACGAATTTTTGAGAAAAATATTTTAGATAAAAATTGTAAGGTTTAAACAGATCTATTTAATGATCTTATCATTAAATAGATCTTGGGTGATGTCGCCAATGTCAGGTCAAAGTCACATCGATTTTTTTTAATGGAATACTCTTTTTGATGCCAAAATCTAATAGCTGGTGTTAACAGCTTTTCAAAACACTAATCAAATTATTTTTTATTAAATATTTTTTAAATTATAAGGCTTGAAAGTTACAGTATCACCGGCATTAGCATTACAAGATGTCCGACTGACGACTATGACCTCTTGAATGTTACTCAGGATCATGCCCTGAATAACATTTGTTATGATCGAGATCATTGGAGATTGTTTCTCTTATTTTCATTTCTATGTAAAAATAAATTTTCAGTGCAATTATTAATTTAATATATTATATTAAACATATAAAACATCTGAATTGTGTAAAAATGTAAAAAAAAAACATCTGTAATGTTACATATCACGTAAATTACATATTACGTGATACGTAATTTATAATAGATTTAAATTAATAATCAATTTTGTATAGTCTATAAACGCGAAGACATCTTGATATAAAGGAGACATAAAGAAATAATTGTTTTTCAATGAGAGAATCTGAACAAACTTTAACATTCAAAAAAGATATAATAAAAAAAAAACAAAATAATGACAAAATTATAAGTAAAGTTAAACAAATATATAGAATGAGGCTCGAAAGAATCTATCAGTAAAAAATGTAAAAAAGCCCATCAGAGCCTACATCAGCTGTTCGGATGCACAGAAAATTCTTTATTTTCGTGTGAATGTAACAAAACATTTCAATATTTTTTTAATTTTTCGTGTTTATTTTGAATGACTACACAGCAAATCTGACAATCTGATGAGCGATGTGATTCTATTTAGTGACGCATTGTATATGATTTGGTTTTACTTTATGAAAGTTTTTATATTATTATTGTATAAGTTAATATTTTTGATAAACATTGGGCTATTCATTACATAGCTAATTTAACATTTGGATAAAGAAGAATGAACTAAATTGTCGGGAATCATCAACTTGGAATTTGCGTTATTTATGTAATTTCGATTTATATTTTATAAGGACCCGAATTGAAGGATCGAACCGTTTATTTTATTCGTTTTGTTACATTCACACAAAAATAAAAAATTTTCTGTGCATCCAAACAGTTGATGTAGACTCTGATAGGCTTTTTTACATTTTTTACTGATATAAGTAAAATATCAAACGTATGGTTCTCAATAGTGCCACACTAAGAACTATTATAAATATAACTTAACTGTAAATATTTTCGATAGAATTGTCTTCCTTTGTATTAACTTTTGAATCAAAGTTTCTCGGAAACGATTTTGTATGCATGCAGTCTCTTTTATATCAATTTCTCAATAATTTGTGTTGGCAATTTAATTATTAATTATTTCTGATTATAAATGTCTGACTGTGATATGTATATTTAGAATTTTCCAATAAATGCAAGATGCTCAGGTATTAGTAAATATTTATATTGCGAGGATATTGTAATTTATATTTTGTAAAACAAAGAATATAAATAAATATAATTATAATCTTAAGTATACTTTTTCGATTCTTATCTCTTTATTATCATCTTATTATTATTTTCTGTTAGCATCAAAACGAATGTAAGGTCTATTTTTTAATCCTGCATTAGACTGCATTAAAACTTTCTTTCTCGCTTTTACTAAATATCAAACATATATCTATTTCACTTTAAGTTCCAAGTGTATACGAGCTACAGAAAACAGACCTTGCAGTAAAATGACCTACTTTAATGCATTATTATAATGGAAGAAGCATCTTGCTATACTTTTGTATTAAGAGTCGTGTCTGTAACTTGAAAGATTACGACATATGCTTGATAATGATATGCACTACTGCAAATTGCTTAATAAGTACCCGCGTTCTCCATATCTTAAATAGTATCGACATTTCAGTTATCCATTTGTTTCCCATTCCTTCGTAACCATCTCAAAAAGTTTCGAGCATATATTTTATAAAAGGTATGATTTATAATACATATACCTTAATTTATAGTAATATGGAAGATATTATTGATATAATTGACCTAAGTATTGTAAAAAAAAGATTAATATGCATAAAGTAATAAAGACAAACGGCAAGAATTATACGAAAGTTATTATTTTATAATGTAACATTTATATATTTATATATGTTCCTGGTGGAAAAATTTTACTGAAATTTCACGAAAATTTCACTGAAAGTGATAGCAAAATTGCTAAAATTTACTGTGGGTGATTTTATAAAGCAAAACTAATGAAAAGTCGCTGAAATTTAATTAAAATTTCTCCATTTTTCGAAAATTTCTCTAAGTTTTCTGAAATTTCACTCCAACCAAATAGATGAAATGAATTAGTTAAAAACTTATTACAATTTCTTCATAAAATTTTCAAAAAAGTTTGCTGAATTTCTCTAATAATTTACCGCGAATGCAATATACCTATTACCATATGGAGTTCTATTTTTCTAGTTCTATTTTAATAATTAAAATATAGAATAGAATAAAAGGAGGAGCATTATGAGATTTTTTTATCTATGGTGTTCATAGTAGGATCTTATATTTAAGACCGTCTTAAGTAAAGTCTTAAGATGTCATAAATCAATTAGAGAACCGCATTAGCATCTTAAGACATTACTTAAGATTTTTTTGAAATAAGAACCGATTATGAATACTGGCCTGTTTTAATAATTTATAACGTTTTATAATTCCTTAAAGAAATCGATAAATCTTCAAAATTGAATTCCGAGATGAAAGTAAATAAGATATATTTTTTGTTAGTACAAATTTGTTTAGAAAAATTGTAAAAATAAATTCAAGAATCAGTCTTATTATGTTTGTTGTCTAAAAATATGCAATTTTGTTTTCAAATGTATTTAAATTTCGTTGAAATTTTGTTAAAAAGCATTCCGAAATACGGAACAATTTTAGCAAAATTTCAGCGAATTTTTCGGCAAAGATTTGTTCCATGAGGAATAAATTGTAATGTTCTTATATACGCATTCATATATGTATATAATTATCAATGTTTGTACAAAAAGAATTTAGAAATGCGTATCCTACAAATTGTAACGGCATGGCTCATTCTCATCGTTATACCGCACTGTGGCATCCATGGTTTTGGATACAGTAAGAGAGGTATGACAAAGTTACAAATTTCGATTTATTTTTCGCGACTTAATATATAAAATAAAACTAAAAAAATCGTAGAAAATTTTCCTTTCTTATTTTTCTTTTTTATTAAAATTTTTTTCTTCATTAAAACAGACGAAATTAATTCGGAAATAAGATAAGAACTTGAAAACAATTATACTATTTACAATTATATTACTTACAAACAATGAAACCTTTAAAGAAACCTGTGTAAAGACTAACGATAAATATAGAGATCGACGAATAATTACAAATTGATGAAATTCTATAATTATTATTCATATTCAAATAGTGTAAATAGTGTAAATAGCAGTCTATTTAACTTATAATAACGCTCTTTAAGATCCATCGATTCCATTTGAATAAAATTTTTTCTTCGTAATTTGATCTATAAAAATGCATCTGACAAAGAATTTTATGAATTAATTAAGAAGATTGATCATCAAGATTTTCTGAAGATATGTAATTATGTATATATTCATATTTATACATGTGTTCCAGCTACAGAATTGAATACGTATAATGATAATAACAAACATGAAGAATCACTCTTGTATTTTAAGGTAACATAGAAAAAAATTAAAAATTACTTGTTATTTGCCTGCATTTTGTAAATAATATATTTAACAAATTAAGTGCCAGTGAATTGCTCTGCAAACAATTATAATAACAGTACGTACAGGCTTATTTAGTGAGAATACCATTATTTATCATTGTTACATATTATTATATTGTTAAGACAACAATTCTAATTTCAGCTAGTGTGAGGAATTAAACAGAGTCACTATTGTATAAAAATATAAAACATTAGAGGAAAAACTCAAAATGAATGTATATATAATTATGTACATTAGATCTTAAAAGGTTATTAATGAGTAAAAAAAAAAATGTTATTCTAATGTTTTATTTTAGAGCAACACTTGTGGCCGAAGAAGTACAAATCATGCGCAGGAAAACGGCAATCACCAGTGGCTATATGCACGTCAAAGGCGATCGTTAAACCATTTCCGGCTCTTGAACTGATTGGTTATCATGATTTTTTTCCAATGCCGCAATTATTAAGAAATAATGGAAAAACTGGTAAATATTTTTGAGTAAATATTTTTGTCATGTATAATTTTACTGTTAAACTTTTTAAAAGAGTGTGTACAATACATCTCTTTTTTTTAGTTATACTTAGTATAGACAAAAATGAGACACAAGTATATAGAACATTGCCTTATATATTCGGAGGCATGCTGCAAAATCA